TGACTCAATTTTTTTTTTTATGGCTGAATACTGTACTAACGGTCAGATTACTGGATGATTGTTCTGGAAACCGTTTTATTCGTCCGATTTTTCTCATCATGTAATTAACATTGCTGCTCAGATACATCAGTCACATTTTGAGGATATAAAGCTAGTTACACTTATAGAAATTCAGTAGAATGAACTGTCGTTGCCAAACGAAAACCACACACAAAGTTAGAAGTTTGTACATTCAAGAGAAACTTCATTCTGCTCCTTCCAATTTAACGAGCTTCTACTGGTTTATAACCAGCCTAACTTGCACTGCAATAAAGCATTATATAAACATTCACTTTTCCATGTAACAGATTTGCTTTTTTGTGAATTAAGACTGAGCTTGAATACTCCATATCAGTGTTATGTTACCTTCAGTTAAAAGTTGCTACAGATAAAGATGATTTTATTGAATAAATGTCTGTTTGCCTTTTCAAATAAGTTTAAGTTAAATTTACAGACGTTGCCTTGACCTTTTCACATGACTACCTGTTTTCCTTAAATAACGCTGCTCAACAATGTTTGAAATTGCAGTCAGCTGGAGACAGTCACATGATTGCATTATAAACAATTACAAAACAATGAATTTGCCTTTTTATTTAAAAAACATATTTAACCTCTTGGCTCTAGCGCCTCTTGTCCCTTTAAGAGGTTTCTGACGCCAGGAGGCGGGGCAGGAGTTAGGTTCATGTGACCACCATGATTGGCTGTCACAGCGGTCACATGATCGGAAAGCTCCCAACAGCAAGTGTCAAGCGGGACCTTTCTGTGAGGTGCCGGTAAATGTGCAGGGGGCACGCAGGGTGTGTGCTCTCAGCACATCTGTTGTTTACATTGGGTACGCAGATATGCGGCCCTTCAGCACCAAGGCCCAGCTGTCGAGAGGCCGCATATTAAGTGTGCTCGGCATCAAGGAGTTAAGCTTCGCTTTGATTCTTAAAGTGGGATTACGCTGCATATGAGCACCAAAAACACAATTTATTTCACTTTTAGTATTCAAAGCAAACCTGGCCATCCATTCATGTCTCCATGCTTTATTTTGCTAAGGAATCACTTTGAAAAACACCCCCTATTTCTGGTTGTGGCCATATTGAGTAAGGGCAGATGATTCATGTAACATTTACTTCCTGGAATCTACTTGCCCTTAGCTCTGGCCTGTAGACAGGAGGGTGTGCTTAACTAAGAAAGCTCCTGCTTTCCTGAAGACTCCTGGGATGTATGACATAATTTGCTTAGGCATGGAAATCTGTAAGTAACTGAAGACATATAAAAAAAAAAAAAAAAGTATTTAAAACAAGTAAATAGGATATACTTTCCTATCTATTTACTAATGCTAGCAGCATATGGATTAAAAATAGTGTTGAACGAGAGTGTGAAGTTCCTCTTTAACCCCTTTTTGTCCAGCCTCCGTATTCTATGTCTATTCACACGTGTGGTGCGAATTGAAGCTCCATTTTCACTGCTAATTGAAAAAGTGGTTGTTCAGTGTGTTCAGGTCAGGTTTACATCAGGATCAGGTCAGGATTTTATCCTGTTCACAAAAGACATGTGCGATTCAGATGCGTTCCCATAGAGGTCAATGGGCCTGAATTCGCACCTGAGTTGGACTGCACTGCTCAGAAAACAGGACTCTCTTTTTCAATTAGCACTGAATCCACACTCCCACTGTGCACAGGACATATGTAAAGGAACACAGAAGAAAGCAATGTTCTTTCGCATGTCATGCAAATTGGATGCAGTTCAAAATGCATCCAATTAGCATATGTGTCAGCCGGCTCTTAAGTGGGTGTGCACACCCGGGGGTAGGACGAAGTTCTCACTCACATGACCTCTGTGATTCAACATGAAAATATAGCATGAAGAGTCACATTCTGTAATTTGCTCATTCGTGATACTTTAGTCTGCTGACAATATAGTAACTGCATACATATAGTCTCCACCCCAAAAACTCCCTAAACATGTTTCACTAGATGGTCTTGCTCACAAGGATAAAGTAGGTAAACCTACTCTAAGGTCTTCACCTGAGAAACCGTATACCCCTGCTGAACTGGCTGAATTTTGATCCATGTATGACTGGCTTGACACTGCATAGTGGATGGTTTCTGAGGTACTTCGGGAACTGGCTAAAATTTGCTCAGTGGATGGCCCTGTCAGCTACCTCCTGCTCAACATATTTTGTTTGAAAAATCAAAGGAGCCTGGCAGAAAATTGACTGAAAAGTGGCTCCATCTGGTCAAATGCTGCTGCTGTTAGGGTATTTTGACAGCCAGTGGAGCTGACTGTCAAAGTACATTGGCCACAGCAGAAGATTAGTCAACCCACACTGTAAAGTGTGAATGGAGGAATTGTTTTTTTTTTTTCGCTTATCCCTTAGGCAATACAATGGGTTTTTGCATGGTAGTGTAGGCTTTTTGGGGTTAAAACAGGTGGTAAGGATATCACATATTTCCTCCACACTGCCTGTCCACCACTCCATGAAAAGTGATCTACATCAGATTATTTGGAGTGGCAGCAAGGGTTGCTGCTAGTGTAACTGAGCCCTAAATCAGTGATGGAGTACTGTACACATGTCACAGATATCTTTTCATCCATAGATATTACGGACACCTATTTTCTTTGAAAGGGACAAGTCATCACAACCTGCAAGATGACTGAGCAGCTTACTGCTCCTTTGTAATTTAATGCAGCCAGCCTGGATGTCCCCACTCCAGATCTACTTGCCTTAGGTTGCGATGAGCATCAAGTGCTGGTGGGGTTTACATAGCTTCATCCTCATCAATACCATGTCATTACTCTGCCACGTCTCTTATCTATACCTTCCCTTCTGTCTTGTTGCTCAGCTGGATTTTACTGCCACCTGTACTTGGCTGTTGCCTAGCTACACAGGATGTTGACAACAGCTTTTGCTCAGCAAGGTAAAATAAAATGTCCCCATCATTTTTAAGAAGCCCTCTTGACGTAGATGTGAGTTGGCTGATTTTATCATCCTGCCTAAAAAAAAGTTTGGATATCAGGATTGGTCATACCTATTGTTCCATAAGGGGGATACCACCACTACTGCTAAACCGGATTGTTTATGCTGATTGGCCGTATTGCTGTATCTTATATTGAGGAGGCTTATTGGCCCTTTGGGGTCGCTGCATGAAGGTGAGGGGGCAATCCAGCCGGTGACAGATCCCAATTTGTTTCACCTGTATCACCGTGGAATTTTTTCACTTTGAACAGTTCACATGGAGACATTTGTTGCTCATTATTATACTATTTAGTGGCAATACGTGGCTAGTAGAGGTTTTTTTATGTTTTTTATTATTTTTTGCAGCTCATTGTGATATATTGTCGTGACACTTATTTGTGTGAACAAAAACACATAAAAAGTCCCAATTAGGGATTTGATCAAATGAGTCTTATATTGTTTATTTTGGTCACTTGTCACATTTTGTAACACATTTATGTGGAAGGACTTTGTGCGGTCTGAAAGTTTTGTTTGAGTCAAGTTTTTATCCTGACAGTCTCACTGTATATTATTCACACCAGTTGTGAGTTTTCTGGTCATGGCACTGTTTCAGGCATATTTTTTGCCATTTACTTATCACTTTGTTTATTTGTGATTTATGTCACTTTTTTCCCCCTTTTTAAGGGATGCATGTACATTGTCTCACCATTTTCTTCAATGTGTGATGTTTTATTTTTCGTTTACACATTTATATATTTTTTTTGCAGATTATCACGTTATCCTTTTTTGATGTATATATTTCTTTTTGTTAGAATTTATTTGAGAATTATATTTATAGATACTTTTACAAGCATCAGGTGTTATTTCTGCAAAAAACACTGCTGCCTGGAGGACAGCTTTTAGAAGAGGGTTTTTTTTTTATTTTAAACGTTCAGTGTGCACGAGGCCTAAAACTTAAAGTATAACTAAATCCTTTTTTTTCAGCTTTGAATAGAGTGGAGAGGGATTAGAACACCTGTCAGTTTTTATTTCCTGCTGTGCCCTTGTTAGGGAGATTCACTCTTTGTTTTTGTTCTGTTTGCCATTATTGAAAGAAAAAGTAAAAAAAAAAATCCCAAATTTTGGGTGTACACCAGAACAGTAGTAGAGGGGAAGTCTTCCAGTGGGGACAGTGGATCTGGTGACACCCTGGAATTCCCTTTTTTGTAGAGATTGTCTCCCTTCCTGTTTTGGCCATGGCACAATGGAAATCTCCCCAATGGGGCACAGATGGCAAAAAACTTCTGGCAGGGGTTATAACCCTTCCTTACTCTATACAAAATTTAAAAAAAATGCTGGTCTTTTAGTTCTACTTCATATAAAGTACACTTGCTTTCCTCCATGCTGCCTCTTTCTGTTTAGACCTTTTTACCTCTCTGCTGCCTGTGCCTTGCTCAAATCCAGGCAAGCTTGTAATATAGTCATTGTTGTATGTGCAAAATTAAGTGCGTAATCTCATGTGGCTCATCTCTTGCATTCGCTGTACATAACATCTGCCAGCTTAAAGAGAGCCTTCCCACAGGGACCTCGTGATAAAGGCATTTCTTTCTTTCTTTTTGCAAACCGATAGATGTAATGTTATATGGCACATGTGTGAGATGGGTCACATGATGATTTGTGCATGCGCAGTGCAACAATAATGCTAGATCTTCAAGATTAGGTACGAGGTCTTCCTGATGGCACTGATAATATTGCCTTTTCAGGGGGCCTCAGTGTGGCAGTGATTATGTCAATAGTGCTTTTAGGGAAACCAGGAAGTGAACACAAGAAAAGTAAGTAAATTAAAATGTTACTAGACCCACAACAGTAAAATCAGTGTGTATATGCAGTGAAACATGCTTGTTATACTCGCTGTGGAACCTAAGGGGTTAATCCTATGCATTGTGTAAAAAGGCGGTTTGATCCTGACTTTTGTGCCCCTCTTGTTGAAATGTCCACACTGATGAGAGAGACGGAACCTGTAGCCCTTATGTACATGCTCAGTTTAGTGTGTATTGCTAGAGAGGTTTTTTTTTTTTTTTCTTGGGAGAGTGCATATGCTCAGCACAGGGCCAATCAGCACTGTGCAGACAGAGGTCAGGGGTTTTGCATCCTCCTAGAGCAGAAAGAGAAAACTACAAGCTTTACCCATTCTCTGCTGAAGTCACAAGACTACTATATATTGCTGATGAGAAAAGGTATTTAGCAGTTTATATTTACTAAAGTAATTGCATTTTCATGTTCTATGTACTGTGGGAGACCATATATAGTGAATGCTGGGTCCTGGGTTTAGTAACACTTTCTAACCACTTGCCAACCACGCTATAGCCAAATGACGGTTACAGCGCGGTTGTCCAGTTCTGGGAGGGCATCATATGACGTCCTCTCAGAACGCGCCCTCCCCCAGCGGTGCACACCCAGCCATCTCCGTGATAGATATGTCCTACGAACGCAGCTGATCACGTGATGAGGTAAAAGGCCAATCACAGCGGCCTTTTACCACATGATCAGCTGTGTCCTATGACACAGCAGATCACGAAGTAAATACAGTTGTTGGTTATTGGCAGCACTGACAGCGTGAGGAAAGTACTGCCGATAACCGGCAGCTGTCACATAGCAGATCGGCACTGATGATCAGTGCGCAGCAGTGCCACCCATCAATGCTGCCAGTCAGTGCCCTCAGCAAACCCCGCACATCAGTGCTTCCTATCAGTGACCATCATTGCTGCATCTCGGTGCGGCCTATTGTGAAGCCTCATCAACACACGTCAGTGAAAGAAAAATGACCTATTTTCATAAAAATTTTATATGGATAAAGTGTTGCATGATCGTGCAATTGTATGTGTGCACATATATATATATATATATATATATATATATATATATATATATAAAATTTAAAGCTGAAGTTTAGTGAAAAATAAATTTTTAAATACTAGTTACCAACAATGGGCCCCACGATGTCCCATTTTCTGGTGTTTGGTGCTTATTGCAGAAATCATCAGTCATCTGCCCCCATGTACACCTCACCTACAGTGCTGATCTTCTAATGCTCCGGAGGTCCGTATCAGCCACTGTCTCCTCCTCCACAGTTTGGCTCAGTGTCCCTCAGACACATCTGCACATAAGATTGCAGTTCTAAATGGAAGCACAAATTTATTGTTGAGTTGAGCGGGACTCCATAGATCCTGACAAGCATAGGGGGCACCCACATACCTAGAGTTGGGCATCACAGCCAGTGGGCAATATGACAAGAAAGATCAGAGGAGAGAACTTTTCAAAAATATTTTTTTTTTTTCTGCTCCTAGACGCTGAAGCTCCAAAAATGCTAATAGCCTTACACAGTGTGTATGAACACTTAGGATTAACATTATCCTATGGCTCTGTTCACACTAGCAGTTTTTTAAGTTCATAGAAACTGTTAGCATTTTTGTTCTGCTCCTAGAAGCTAAATAGTGTTATCCTATGTTTCCATGCACACTGGTATTAACATTTTATGAGCTTCAGCGTCTAGCAGCAAAAATGTTGTTTTTTTTTTTTTTTTTTTTTATGTAGCGTTTTTTTTTTAGCATTTTCCTGTAGAAAAAAATGCTAAACTCTGCTAAAACGCTTTTAACAGCTTTTTTTTCTAGCTTTTATTTATTTTACATGTACTGTAAAAACACTAATAAAACGCTAACGCTCCTAAAACGCTATTACCTTAGTTTTTTTTACAGAGTGCTACTAAACCCACAACAGTACAGTTTGTCTGTATATGCAGTAAAGCATGCTTGTTATACTCAATGTGGAACCTAAGGGGTTAATCCTCTGCATTGTGTAAAAAGGCTGTTTGATCCTGTCTTCTCTGCCTCTCCTCTTGTTGAAATGACCACCTAATACAGACTGAATCCCTAGTTACTCTGCACATGCTTAGTTTGGTGTGTATTGCTAGATAGGGTTTTTTTTTTTTTTTCTTGGGGGAGTGCATGTGATCAGCACAGGGCAAGTCAGTGCTGTCCAGACAGATGCTCAGGACTTTCACATCCTCCTAGAACAGGAAGAAAACTCCTCCTACAAACTTTAACCAGTGCTCTGCTGAAGTCACAAGACTGCTCTAACTGCTGATGAGAAAAGGTATTTAGCGGTTTATATTTACTAAAATAATTGCATTTCCATGTTCTTTGTACTGTGGGAGACCAGATATAGTGAATGCAGGGTAATGAGTTTAGTAACACGTTAAAGTTCACAACACAAGCACTGCTTTTTTTCTATGAGAACAGTATTTGGCAGGCTACCAGTGCTGTCATGTAAACAACCAGATTTCTAGCTTCATCAAGGAAGCAAAATCAACTTTATACCTTCCAGATCCAGATATCTCCTTTTATTTATATGTTGCTGCTTTAACCCTTTTACTGCCACCGCCATAGAAAATATGGCTTTGGGGAGTTTTACAAAGTCTGGAATGTGACAAGCTGACTGTTGGCTGTCAGATGGAAGTGATTCGGCAGCTGCACACACAGTTATGCGGGTTTAATTTCCCACAATGTGCCTCTGCCACGTTTCCCGGGCTTTGCATGTCAATCACTGGATTGGAGACCAGCATGGTGGGTGCAACCGGGTAGAGGGGAAGGAGATTTGCCCTTCCTGTTAGACCCCTGATGTCTCGTTGAAGAGAACCTGTCACTAAAAATGCATTTTGTATGGGCATTTTTGTCCCATATGTGTTGAAGAAAAGTTCAGAAAAAGTTCCGGACAGTGTGAAAAGAAACGAAAACAAATCTACACACAAGGCACTTAAAATCTCCCAAACGTTTTTGAGCCCCGTGCCCCACATCCACATTTACATACAGAAACTAACACAAATGCATGCATCGGTGGTGCCTGTGCATGAAAACATTGATTGTGCTACACATGTTATAAGATCAGTGTGCATGCAGGAGTGGGCGGAATGATTCTAGACCCATTTTTTACTGTTAACTTTAGATAGATGCCCTGTAGGCAGGGGCGGACTGACAACTAATGGGGCCCCCGGGCAATAGGGGATCATGGGGCCCCTGTGTCCTTGCCCAAACTCAAAAAAGCCTATGAAAAAGGTACCAGGGGCATCTCATGGGGCCCCCTACTGACCCCGGGCCCTTGGGCAGTGCCCATGTTTCCAAATGGTCAGTCCGCCCCTGCCTGTATGGGCTATTATATCTTTCACCTATGGAAAATATAGAGTTCTAAAGTGTGCCGTTTCATAGGCACATGCAATTTTAAACTTTGACATGTTGGGTATCTATTTACGTGGCTCAACCTCATCTTTTATATTTTACCAAAATGTTGGTAATTTGTTGCTTGTGTGTGCCCTAACGTTGACTTTAGTGTATATTTTTGTACTGATTTTTTTTTTTCCATTGTATTTTTTGTGGTGTCTGTTTTATTAGACACACATTGCACCGGGATGATGCACTCTTGACGTGCTGTCATTCTGCACTGAACGATACAAAACGCTATAGAATCTCACTATATTGCTGCTTCTCCTCTCTCCCCTATGATCAAGACCTGCCAGCTGTCTTCTTCCCTCTGCTCAGCTAGGTATGAATGGAGAAGGCATGTTTTCCAGGCTCATTATTCTGGAAAATGTCTATTCAGATGCTTATCATACAGTAGGGATGCACCAATATATCGGCAGCTGAAATGTATTGGCCGAAAATAGTGTTATCAACATTTTGCTGATAGAAAAAAAGGTGTCGATAATAGCGTTTTTATTATAAAAGAATCGTGTCAAGGCAACTCTCATGCAAAGTCACGTCCCATAGACTTTGATGCAAAGTCGTGTCCCATAGACTTTCATCCAAAAAATGCCAGCCTGATTAATGAAAAAAAAAGAACATTTTAAAAAACTGACGTTTTCGGCCAAGTGCATCCTTCAATTTTGGTTTCGGTTTCGGCACCAGACTTTTTTATTTCAGAGCACCACTATCAGACAGTTAGCCCAATATGGATATCCATGAATAGTATGTACGCCACATTGTGGCACAGATATTAGTTTTATAGGGTGCAGAAACTGACACACTCCTGTGTGAAATCACTGTTTGATTTTTGGCACATGCTACGAATGCTTTTCAATATATGTGCACTACGTTTCACGCATATTAAGTCAGAAGCACAAGAGATTAGGTAGGTTTCTGGTACTTTTCAGGGCGACGTTAACACAACCTATATAGAAAATTGCATACCATAGCAACCATAGCCCCCCCCTTTTTTTTTTCGCCCTCATTGTCATGCCATCATCCCACCAAAATAAATGTAAAAATAAAATTGCAAAGAATTGTAGTGAAAATAATTATCCATGTGTAAATAAGAATAACATTTCAAACTTTGTACTGTCCCCTTAAGGATCACCTCCAGATGGTAAATAACTTGCAGTATGGTAGCAGTGGACTTACAATAAAGTGTCATGACTGACCCAAACGTAGCCTCCAGCCTGGGGATCATAAAGACAGTCATAGATATCATCTACTCATGCACAGAAACCAGACTGCATATGCACACTGGCGATCTCATGCTGGACACAGTTCATAGCTGGCCCGCAAAGACTTTCAGCAGGGAGGAGTTTATTCCGGGCTTACCAGGGACAGCTATACAAGGAATCAAAGAAGGACAACATCCACAAGACAATCTGAAACTAATCTCCCTGCCTCCTCAAGTGACAGTGACTGGCTGACAAAAAACTTCTACCGAAAGTGAGGGTGCAGTGTCCAAAACAGCAGAGAGGCTAGCCAGCACACAATCAAAGTTAATTTCTATTTTGAGTAGCCCACAGTGAGGTGTCAAGGGCAGTGAAACCAAGTACTCATTGGCATTTGGTTTCACGAATATATTGTGTGATATCACATTCTGTACATTTTTTCAATTACTTTGGTGGAATGATGTCATTATTACGCCAGTGAAGGCGCTGTGGTTTTTCTTGTTGCAACCCCATCAGTACTTCAATTCATAAACTATAGGTTTGATTATGCTTGAGAACTCTACATTCACAGCTATTGTCGTGTGAATGCATGTTTTCACGTTATGTGCATAGGGCTGCCCTAGGCGTGACAAATGTTGCAAAGTAGCTCATATACCTGTTTTGGGCTTTAAGCTTAAACACTCATTTTGGCTAGTTGGACACAGCTAAAAATGTGCATTTGCTTGCCTCTTTTAAGGTGTCATTAACAATAAATTGCACCGCAAGTGTGGCACATGTTTGCCTATTTCGTTGAATGTGTGCTGTTGCGCACATTCATTGGACCCTCAGGTGTGAATGCAGTCTTAAGCCAGCCATATACAGCCTGATGTTGGCAAATTCTTGTTTATTCAGCTGAAATTTGAGCAATGGGAGGCCTTCTTGACATATTGCCATCAAGGCCCTGTGGAAAGAGCTGAGTGGAAAATTATCAGCTAAACAATGACTGCATCCAGCCAGATGCAGTCACTGTTTGGGTATTCTGATAGCTGCACATTCCAGCTGTCAGAGTGCAATAGCCAAAAGGAGGTATTCCTACATCCATCCACACTCTTTAGTATGGGTGGAGCAATAGATTGCTGTTGTTCAGCCCACGGGCTGATAGAGAGGTCTATGTATATAGGTACAGTGGGGATCGAAAGTTTGGGCATCCCAGCTAAAAATTTGTATTAATGTGCATAAAGAAGCCAAGGAAAGATGGAAAAATTTCCAAAAGGCATCAAATTACATATTAGACATTCCTATAATATGTCAACAAAAGTTAGATTTTATTTCCATCATTCACACTTTCAAAATAACAGAAAACAAAAAAATGGCGTCTGCAAAAGTTTGGGCACCCTGCAGAGTTAATATCTTGTACTGCCCCCTTTGGCAAGTATCACAGCTTGTAAACGCTTTTTGTAGCCAGCCAAGAGTCTTTCAATTCTTGTTTAAGGTATCTTTGCCCATTCTTCCTTACAAAAGTCTTCCAGTTCTTTGAGATTTCTGGGCTGTCTGTCACGCACTGCTCTTTTAAGGTCTATCCATAGATTTTCAATTATGTTGAGGTCAGGAGATTGTGAAGGCCATGGCAAAACCTTCAGTTTACACCTCTTGATGTAATCCCCCGTGGATTTCGAGGTGTGTTTAGGATCATTATCCATTTGTAGAAGCCATCCTCTCTTTAACTTCAGCTTTTTCACAGATGGCATCAAGTTACCATCCAAAATTTACTGAAATTTTATTGAATCCATTTTTCTTTCTTCTCGTGAGATGGTCCCTGTGCCACTGGCTGCAACACAACCCCAAAGCATGATTGATCCAACCCCATGCTTAACAGTTGGACAGAGGTTCTTTTCATTAAATTCTGTGCCCCTTCTTCTCCAAACGTACCTTTGCTCATTCCGGCCAAAAAGTTCAATTTTAACCTCATCCATCCACAGAACTTGTTTCCAAAATGCATCAGGCTTGTCTATATGTTCATTTGCAAAGTTCAAACGATGACTTTTGTGGTGAGAATGTAGCAGAGGTTTTCTTATGATGAGTCTTCCATGAAGACCATATTTGTACAAGTATCGCTTTATAGTGGAATAGTGTACCACAACTCCAGTGTCTGCCAGATCTTTCTGGAGGGATCGTACAGTCAAACGTGGGTTTTGAATTGTTTTTCTCACAATCCTGCGAGCTGTTCTGTCGGTTATTTTTCTTGGTCTTCCAGATCTTGCTTTAACTTCCACTGTTCCTGATGACTGCCATTTCTTAATTACATTCCGAACAGAGGATATTGACATCTGAAAACGCTTTGCTATCTTCTTATAGCCTTCTCCAGCTTTGTGAGCGTCAACTATTTTCAGTTTCAGTTTTGTAGACAACTGCTTAGAAGAACCCATGATGCTGATTGTTGGGGCAAGGTCAGATGAGTCTGGGCATTTAAAACCTTTGAGATTGACATAATCTGGTCTTCCCAGACAATGATTGAGAACAATCCATGACACTGGCAGGTCTCAGCTTTGCAAAGGGGGCAGTGCACGCTATAAATTCTGCAGGGTGCCCAAACTTTTGCAGACGCCATTTTTTTGTTTTCTGTTATTTTGAAAGTGTAAATGATGTTAATAAAATCTAACTTTTGTTGACATATTATAAGAATGTCTAATCTGTAATTTGATGCCTTTTGGAGATTTTTCCATCTTTCCTTGGCTTCTTTATGCACATTAATACAAATTTTTAGCTGGGGTGCCCAAACTTTCGATCCCCACTGTATACTTAAAGTGGTTGTAAACCCTTACATACACCCAGAAACTGGCCACCGGTGATACACAGATGAAACAAATCCTCCTACATATGTTGTACCTGTCTATCTGCAGTCTTCACTACTTCTGTTCAAAGTGCTGAATTTTATAAAGCTTGACTGAGAGGTAAGAAAGGAGGCAAAGACCTGACATACAAAGGAGAACTGTAGGAGCTGATTAGAGGGAAGAGAAATACCCCTCTTCACACAGCAACAGAGCTGAGGCTGCCAATTTGTTGGAGGTTCCTCCTTGTCACCATTTTACTCTTGGTGTCAGGAAAACCTGTCAGTAGTGATTCATGCTGATAGCAGCGAAATGAAGCAGCAGACAGAAATGACACTTAATGCTTTTTATTGTACACACTATAGGGCAGTGATGGCGAACCTTTTTGAGCCCGAGTGCCCAAACTGCAACCCAAAACCAACTTATTTCTTTCAAAGTGCCAACACTGCAATGAAACCTGAATATCGAGCTTTTGGTTTAGAAAAAACAACTCGTACAGTAGTGCAAACTAATTAACAGTACAGGGATGACCAGAGACTGCGGACACAGTACAGGGATGACCAGAGACTGCGGACACAGTACAGGGATGACCAGAGACTGCGGACACAGTACAGGGGATGACCAGAGACTGCGGACACAGTATAGGGATGACCAGAGACTGCGGACACAGTACAGGGATGACCAGAGACTGCAGACACAGTACAGGGGATGACCAGAGACTGCGGACATAGTACAGGAGATGACCAGAGACTGCAGACACGGTACAGGGATGACCAGAGACTGCAGACACGGTACAGGGGATGACCAGAGACTGCAGACACGGTACAGGGATGACCAGAGACTGCAGACACAGTACAGGGATGACCAGAGACTGCGGACACAGTACAGGGATGACCAGAGACTGCGGACACAGTACAGGAGATGACCAGAGACTGCGGACACAGTACAGGAGATGACCAGAGACTGCGGACACAGTACAGGGATGACCAGAGACTGCGGACACAGTACAGGAGATGACCAGAGACTGCGGACACAGTACAGGAGATGACCAGAGACTGCGGACACAGTACAGGAGATGACCAGAGACTGCGGACACAGTACAGGAGATGACCAGAGACTGCGGACACAGTACAGGAGATGACCAGAGACTGCGGCCACAGTACAGGAGATGACCAGAGACTGCGGACACAGTACAGGAGATGACCAGAGACTGCGGCCACAGTACAGGGATGACCAGAGACTGCGGACACAGTACAGGGATGACCAGAGACTGCGGACACAGTACAGGGATGACCAGAGACTGCGGACAGTACAGATGACTGCTGACCTTTGGGGAGGGAGGGGGAGCGGGTACCTGAATTTGACAGGTACCCGCTCTTACTTTCGCAGAGTTTTTTTTTTATCTTACCTGTTCCTTTATCCAGCCGCGCGCTGTCTTCCCGGTTTCTGTAGTGTGGGCGCTCGTCGGACAGCCGGATGCCCAGTGCGCATGCGCGAGAAGAGCTGCGCTTTGTGATTGGTCCAGGGCTTCTGGGATCTGTCATGTGTCCCAGGTACCGCCTTACCATTCACAAAGAGCACTGCTTCTTGCGCATGCGCACTTGGGACCCGGCTGTCACGCACACTACAGAAGCCGGGAAGACAGCGCGCCGCTGGATAGAGGGACAGGTACGGTCCCACTGCAGAGCTGAGCGGCCGGCCCGGTATTCTGACACGGCGGCGGTGGAAATACCGGACCGGCCGCTCTATATTCGCTCCATAAGACGCACTGACATTTTCCCCCTTTTTTGGGGGAAAAAAAAGTGCGTCTTATGGAGCGAAAAATACGGTATTCTCCTGGCGTGCCCACAGATAAGGCTCGGCGTGCCGGCTGTGGCACGCATGCCACGGGTTCGCCATCACTGCTATAGGGTATGCTTTGTTCATTTTTTGTCTGAGGTTTACAACCACTTTAAGCTGGGGCACACACGGTCTGAACATCAGCTGGTGACTGCTGGTACAGCTGTCCTTCTGACAGAAGCCGGTCTGATGATCTGCTTTTGTTGAAGGGACATGCTGGAAAAGCAGCATTCGATTCAGCTGATTTGTGTGTTCTGCCAGGTGCAGCAAGGCCTGTGTTATGCAGAACATTCTGCTTTTCTAGGAATCAACCGTAGTTCTTTTGAGAAGCTTTGTTACATCTAGGATGGTCAATTTTAGAATTTCATATTCTTTTAGTGAGAAGAGGTTTTGCCTTACCACTCCTGTTCCTTCACAGTCTTTAGCAAGCTAACAGAAGTAGGTGGTCAGGCGCATATACAGTGCATTCATAAAGTGTTCAGACCCCCTTCACTTTTTTTTTTTTTTGGTATGTCACAGCAAGCTCTCCACACCTGGATTTGGGGATTTTCTTCCATTTTTTTCCTTTGCAAATCCTCTCAAGCTCAGTCAGGTTGGCTAGTGATGTTGGATAACTATTTTCAGGTCTCTGCAGAGATATTCAATAGTGTTCAAGGCAGGGCTCTGGTTGGGCCACTCTAGGACATTGAGTTGTCCCTAAGCCACTCTTGAGTTGTCTTGGCTGTGTGCTTAAGATTGTCATGCTGGAAGGTGAATCTTTGGCTCAGTGTGAGGTCCTGAGCTCTGTAGAACAGGTTTTCATTTAGGATATATCTGCACTTTGCTCTATTCAGCTTTCTCTCAACCCTCACAGTCCATGAGGAGAGGCTTCCGTCTAGCCACTCTGCCATAAAGCCCAGATTGGTGGAGGACTGCAGTGATGGTTTTCCTTATGGAACGCTGTCCCATCTCCACACAGGAGCTCTAGAGCTCAGTCAGAATGACCATCGGGTTCTTGGTCATCTCTCTTACTAAGCCCCTTCTCCCCTGATTGCTCAGTTTGGCAGGGCGACCAGCTCTTGGAAGAGTTCCAGTTGTGCCAAACTTCTTCCATTTGGAGGCCACTGTGCTCTTAAAATCCTTCAGTGCAGCAGCATTTTTTTTTTTTTTTTTTTTTTTTTTGTAGCCTTCCCCAGATCTGTCTTGCAATAATCCTGCCTCGGAGCTCTGCTGGCAGTTCCTTTTGACCTCATGGCTTTTGCTCTGATACTGCTGGTTTCACCAATTGCCTTGTGAAAATGTCTCATCTGGCTGAAATCTGTAGCATCCAGAGCAGCCTTTCTCAACCAAGGTTCCTGCAGAGATTGCTAGGGGTTTCTTGAGCAATTTCTGCCTCTGAACGCTTACACCAATGATCTTTTTATCTATCTGTAGGTGGGGGGATGCTTCCCAATGACCACAAATAGAAGGAACAATCTTCAAAGTGACCATCACGTGAAAGTGAGCTGTAGATATAGTAATTATTAGCAGACGTTTCCTGTGATTAAAAAGGTATATCAAGGGTTACTCTGTGTTAAAATGGTTGTGAAAGGCTTATCCAGAGACATCTCATGTCTATTTGTCAGAAGGCATGCTGACTGAAGAGATTCTTGTGCTTTACATGCTGTGCTAAGTCATTCAAGGCAATGGCTTTCTTCACTAGCAGAGCCTGGTCAACGTAGACAGAACAGTCTGCAAAATAATAAGGAATGGCCTGTGTAATGTAATTTCAGTGCTCCAAGCTAGACCAATGGAATTATAAAAATATCAGTACCTGGAATTCTTTAAGATTGCAGTTAGGTACACATGCAATTTCAAGGATACTGGATTTCTATCTGAACAGGTATTTTTCTGTACTTGTAGAAAATGTACTTGGTCTGAAAAGGAAAAAGGAATACAGCCTATACAAATTTTGTTTTTTGGGTTTAGATATACTTTAGAGATGCAGTCACTCTTCTAAATTTGGGGATAGTTGCTGTGTTTGTGAAAAGACTCTCCCAACCCACTGATACTGGACATTCCATTGATTTCCGCACTGCTCCTTTCTGTACTTCAGCTGATGCAAAATATCCAGTGCTTCCAGATATGGGGAGCATAAATGTGTTTTTGTGTTTTTGTTTTTTTTTTTTTTTTTTTCCTTTCTTTTAATATAAAGCAAACAACTGCAGCACAATGCATTTTATAAATTTACATAGTTGCATTTTATACATTAAACAGTTTGTAAGGGTGGAAAGGACACTCGTCCATTCATTTCAAACTGTGTGTGTGATTTTTATTTTCAAACAATTCCCATAAAATTCCTAATAACCAAGTATATTCTGCAAGGAAGACATCTAAAAGCTTTTTGAAATTGTCGACCTAGTCTGCTATTACCACCTCCTGGTGAAGGAAGTTTAAAATTTTTACTGCTTTAACAATAAAGACCCCTTTCCACAATCTGAGGTTAAACCTCCTTTCTTCTAACCTGAGTTGTGGCTGTGTGTCCTCTTCAGGAACCTTAGAGATCAGTTTATTACAGTTTCTCAAAATCACCTTTGAAATATTTATAGATTGTAATCATATCACTCTTCATGCACCTCTTCTCCAGAGTGAATAGCTACTCTATGTAACTGATCCTCCACTGAGGTCCTCCATACCCCTTAAAAATTTAGTTGTGCTTTGCTGAATTCTACTTCAACAATGTCTTTCCTGAGGATTGGTGACCAAAACTAAACTGCAATTTCAAGATGAGGTGTAACCAGTGTTTTGTAAAGGGGTAGAATTCTTGAGTTATCTCTGGAATGCATACCCTTTTTAATGCATGACAATGGTTTGCTAGCTTTGTTGGCTGTGTCTTGGCATTGCATGCTATTGCTAAGTTTGTAATCTATAGTCACCCCCAGATCTTTTTCCATCACTGTTTCTCCCAGGGTAACCCCTCCTAATGTGTATTTTGCATGTGTATTTTTGTTACCCAATTTTACAACGTTACATTTCTCAATATTGACCCTCAACTGCCGTGTAGATTTCCAACCCCCTATTTTGTCAAGGTCTTCCTGTCGTGATGCTACATTCTCTTGCTGATGTTATTATTTTGCGGAATTTGGTATCATCAGCAAACACTGAAATTGAGCTCTTGATTCCAATCTCTATATTATTAATAAGCACATTGAACAGCATCAGCCCCAGGGAAGAACCTTGGGCCACACCACTCACAACGTTTAGACCATTCAAGGAATGAGTCCTTGATCGTTACTCCGTAACAAAGTTTCTGTCCATGTTCATACAATTTCATAAACTCCAATGAAACGTATTTTATAGTGTGGCCATGTGAAGCACTGATAATGACACAGGGTTTGCACATATGCTGAGTATAGGGCTCTGGAATTTTGATTCTGAATAAAGAAAGGTGGTCTTTAATTTTTTATATTCCTGGGTTGGGTTCTGGAGTTTGGAGATTTCTAAGTTTTGGGAGGGAACAAAATGTACATCAGACTGTCCAGGTCATGTAGGAGACAGGCAGATTGTGAGTGCTGGTGTGCACAGCCCTTATAATGAAGGACCTGGCCATAGTGCAAGGGCTTCCATTAAGACACAGGTGTGCTTCACTCAGAGACAGCACTCCATGCTTGGGGAGAGATTCTTTGTCCATAGGGCTTAGGGAGTTCAGACTGCTAAGTGAATCTGGGAGACTGAGACGGACTGGCCGACTTTCAATCTGTGTGTAGCCCTCCTGGTTTGACAGGAGGGATTTGGGGGGGGGGGGATTCCTGCATCCACATCTCTCTGTGCCAATGCAGGATTTATTTTTAAAATTAGCCCACTGACTGAAGAAAAAACTTGACAGCACGTGATTCTGTGTAGCTCCAGCTCCCCAGTTTCAGTGAGCTGCAGTGAAAGTAGTGGGCCATGCAAGCCTGTGGTTGATGTCATGTCTCCTGGAATTTCTAGTCAGCGCCAAAGGAGAGTCGGAGCTGCAGGACCTGGTCACTGGACCAGGCTGGAAAAAGGAGAGTATGGAGATCCCTTTTTTTTTTTCTTTTTTTTTTTTTTCTTTTTTTAAACACAGGATATGCACGGTGGGGCAGGGGACATTTTTAAAATAGTATTTTGG